ATCAAAAGCCGCTGAGAGGTCTAAGAGCACCAACAGGGTCACACAACCACTGTCAATGCTCAGGTGCAGATTGTCGGTCAAGGCAACCATGGCGGTCTCGACCCCAAAGCTTGTCCTGAAGCCGGTTTGAAATGGGTCTAGAAAATCGGTTTCATCCAAGACAGCTTGGAGCTGAAGAGCAACCGCCCTCTCGATTACCTTGCTCAAAAATGGCAGCAATGACACAGGCCTATAATTTCTCATATCCAGGGGGTCTAGGGAAGGTTTTTTCAGAAGCGGCCTAACAGCTGCTTCCTTTAGACAAGATGGAACATGTCCTTCCCTGAAGGATGCATTGATGATATCCGTGAGGAGTCTCCTCAATGCATCCCCCCCCCTGGATGGCCAGCCATGATGGGCAAGGGTCGAGAGGGCAGGTTGTCTTCTTCACCTTACCAAGCAGCTTGTCCACATCCTCCGGTACTCACAGATTGAAGCTGATCCAGTATAACTACATCGGCGGAGTCGCTGGACACCTCGCCTATAGACTCTGTTTCAATGGTAGCATCTAGGTCGGCTCTTATCTGAGAGATTTTATCTGCAAAGAAGTTATTTTGATGTTACCTTGTAGGTTTGTGCAGCAATAAAGAAGGTTGGGTGGTGATGCTATTTTAAGCTCTTGCAAGACAGATGGAATATAAATATAACAAATGTTTTTTGTAATGAATCGTCTTATTTTGGATCTGGAGATTATGCCAGAAAAATGGGATTGGGAAATCTGGCTCATAGTCTGGTTGAGTGGATATAGGTTAAGAACAATCAAGTGTTACAACTGGTGCTGGACATTGGTCTCTGAATATTATGTCTCAGCTGGGAGATGCTCTGGTCATTGCACTCTGAGAGACATGGAACCACTTAGTTTTCTAATCCATGTACAGTGATCAAAATCAAATTCATGTTGGGCGTTCTACCACAGGAACAATTTCTGTTACTTTGTCTTTGGCAGCTATGCATCTCAAGATAATTAATCATAATCTGAATTACATTGTCAGGCTTTGATTTACAACTCTAATAGTTTTGATTAATTAGAAATGTAAATGAGCTGGAACACTCATTCACTAACTGACTGTCAGTAGCTGTGGGAAATAGAAGGATGCAGTTTAAACACTTTGTGTGGCTTACAAGTAAGCTTTTGTCTGATTCATCTTTATTTTTTAATGACATATCTTACTCCCTTGCCAATGCATAAGACTTTTTTTAAGTGTAGAAAACAAATTTCACACAGTAGAATGAGTGGGGACAGAACTTAGTTCAAATGACTTTAGTGCTATCTTATTATCAAAAGGGAGATGTATCTTTGTTATAAACTGTTCAAAGCACCCCCTCCTCTGCCTCTCTCTTTGTGTATGTGTGTGTAAAAGAGAGAATTTTTCTTGGAAGTTGTACAAAGCACCCCTTCCTCTGTCTCTTTCTTTCTTTTTGGAGTGTGTGTGTGTGTGTGTGTGTGTGTGTGTAAAAGAGAGAGAAGAAAGAGAAAGACATGGCAGGGGGACAGATGATGAATAGCAAACTTAGCCCATGAAATATGAGGTTTCTGCTTTAGCTATTGGGGGAAGTAACAGTTTTTCAGATTAAAATTTGTTTTGCTCTTCAACCTTAGTCAGTTCTCTTGCTGTAGAAAATCTTCTCACGTGTGTACACAAACTTGACAGCTCCCCCCC